ATAATTATGATTGTTATCAACAAAGTTACAACTAGAAAAATAAAAAATAATGCGTAAAAAAAGGCTAATTAAAAAACAACCCCCACAGGTTGATGATCCATATTTTCCTTCTCCCGTAGTTAAGCAGTTAGTTACCAAAATAATGCTTAAAGGAAAAAAAAGCCAAGCCCGGAAAATTATTTATCAAGCCTTTGCCCATTTAAAAAAAGAAACCGAACAAGATCCATTAGTAGTGGTGGAAGAAGCCATAAAAGAACTTAAACCCCAATTAGAAACCAAAAAAATTAGGTTAGGGGGGATTAGCCAACCTATTCCCAAAGAAGTTAAACCGGAAAGAAGCCTTTGTTTGGCTTTAAGATGATTAGTAGAAGCGGCTCGCCAAAATGCTAAAAAAAAAAAACGAAAAGGAATTGGCCGACCAATGTTTTACTGTTTAGCCCAAGAAATTATTAAAGCTCGACAAAAATCAGGAGAAGCCTACAAACGAAAAGAAACGGAACAACAAAAGGCAAAAGATAATATAGCCTTTGCTTCTTTCGCCTATAATTCTTAAAATTATATTTTATGCTAGAAAAAAAAAACCAAGATAATAGTTACTTAAAAAAACTTCGTAATATTGGTATCATTGCTCATATTGATGCGGGTAAAACCACTACTACGGAGCGGATACTTTATCACACTAAAATGATTCGCCAAATGGGGGAAGTTCATGACAAGGAAGGTAAAGGAGCTACAATGGACTTTATGAAGCAAGAGCGCGATAAAGGAATTACTATTCAGTCCGCCGCTATCACCGTTTATTGGCAAGAACACCAGATAAATATTATTGATACTCCCGGCCATGTAGACTTTACTGCCGAAGTAGAAAGGTCTTTGCGGGTGTTAGATGGAGGAGTAGTGGTTATCGATGGAAAAGAAGGAGTAGAAGCCCAAACCGAAACCGTTTGAAGCCAAGCTGATAGGTATCAAGTCCCCCGTCTCGTTTTCATCAACAAAATGGATAGCATGGATAGTGCTGAAAATGTTGAAAATCGGTTTATTGCCTCTTATCAAAGCTTAGAGGAAAGGTTAGGAGCTAACCTGCTTATTTGTCAATTCCCGATTGGCGGAAATCAAGGAATTGAAGGAGTTATTGATTTAATAGAAGAAAAGGCTTACTATTTTCAACGCGGAGACCAAGCAGAAAATTACCAAATTAAAGAAATACCAGTTCATTTACACCAAAAAGCCCAAACTTATCGGCAAAATTTATTAGAAAAAATTGCTCTTTATGACGAAGAGTTTGGTTTAAAATATCTCGGAGGGCAACCCTCCTCGGCTTCCGAAATAAAAAAATTAATTCGCCGAATGGTAATTAGTGGCGAGCATTTTGCGGTTTTTTGCGGTTCAGCCTATAAACATGTCGGAGTAAAACTACTGCTAGATGGGGTAACTGATTATTTACCCTCGCCGCTTGACCGGGACCGAATTACCGTATTTTCGGAAGGAAAAGAAGAAGAGATTTCAGTGCTAAATTATCCTCATTCCTTAGCCTTAGCTTTTAAAATTGTGAACCTTTCTTTTGGCAAACTTACCTTTATTCGTGTTTACTGTGGCAAAATTTCGGCTAGTTCCTATGTTTACAACCTCAATAAAGAAAAAAAAGAAGGGGTTGCCCGCTTGGTACGGATACACGCCAATAAACAAGAGCACATACGGGAAGCAAACATGGGTGATATTGTGGCGGTAATTGGTCTAAAACATACTACTACCGGAGACACTTTATGTAGTGCAAAACAAGAAATTTTGCTCGAACAAATTAGTTTTGCCGAACCAGTAATTTCCTTAGCGGTAGAGCCAAAAACCAAAGAGGACCAAGACAAATTAGACAAGGGCTTAAAGTCCTTATTCGAAGAAGATCCGACTTTTCATGCTAGTTATAATTCGGAAACTGGACAAATGATTATTAGTGGAATGGGGGAACTACATTTAGAAGTTTTAGTAGAAAGGTTAAGAAGCGAGTTTGGAGCGGAAGTTAAAGTTAGCAAGCCGCAAGTGGCTTACCGAGAAACTATTACTAAGAATTTAGAAAATGTGGAAGCGCAGTATAAAAAACAAAGTGGTGGAAGTGGGCATTTTGCTAGAATTTGGATTAATTTTGAGCCTAACGAGAGAGGTAAAGGGTTTGAATTCATCGACCTTAAAAAAGGCCAGGAAATGTCAAATAAAGATGCCGAAGAAGTTAAAGAAGGATTAGAAGAAGCAATGTTGTCTGGCTTGCTCTTAAACTGTCCTTTATTAGATGTGAAAGCGACCTTGCTCGGAGGAAAAAGGCATGAAGTAGATACCAAGCCGGGGGATTTTAAAATGGCTGCTATTTCAGCTTTTCGCGGAAACGGGCTGGAAGAAAGAAAACAAAGAGCACAAGATTTAGGTGTGATCTTGCTAGAACCGATTATGAAACTAGAAGTAAGCAACATTCCGGAAAATTATTATGGGACAGTTTTAGCTAGCATTACTTCTCGCCGCGGGATAGTAGAAGGCATTGAAAAAAAAAAAATAACTTACCTTTTAAGGGCTAACATACCTCTCGCCGAAGTTTTTGGTTATTCGACCATTTTGCGTTGTAACTTTGTTGATAACAATCATAATTA